TAACATAATATTAATTATCTCTAATAAAATACTAATGAGTGATGCTATTAAAAATTATAGTTCTCTTTTTTTCTTAAATCCGCTCCTTTTCAACTCGGTAATAAATTTTAAGATACAAAATAATATTTTAACTTAAATTTGAAATTCATAAATACCAATTTAAATAACAAATTGAACGAAAAATATCAGATTTTGTTAGAGTAATTCATTGAGACCGATTAATTCAATATGATTTGACCGAATTTTGTGACAAGCGATTGTTTGACACTTTTTTCAGAGTTATATGATTCGTGTGAATATTATAGTAGGAAAAGCGTTCTAACAAAATAGTAATAAATTCTAATATATAATAGTAATAATCTATACCATAATATTTTCTAACATCTAACATAGTAGTACTAAATATTATTTCATAAGGCTATCAATTCTAAATCATACCATAATAATATCCAACTTCTAACATAATAGTTGTTGTTATATGGGATCAACAACGGGATTATGTAATAGAAAAAGACGTTAATTATCCAGAAAGATTCGATTGATTGAAAGAGCACAAGGTTTATTGAACGGGATTGTTCGTATCATTCTCTGTCCCGCCTCTTTTGGAAATTCTCCCATTTTTCTTTTATATTTTCGTACAACCTTATCAGAATTATAATCATTACATTAGAAAAGTCAATGGCGGCCGATTGCCATTGATTCTTGTAGCACGCCACATGGCAAGGTGTAATGATGACTTGTGATGAGTTGGCGCCGCCTTATGATGTCGGTTTGGCAAGTCATAGATATCGGCTTGAAAAGTCATAACCGACATGTCGTAACCGACATGTCATAACCGATATGAGATGTCGGTTAGTTGATGAGGATGTCGGTTCTTGGCCTGTCTTCACCCGATATGTGAATACTTTGAAATCCGTGAGCATGTTAATTCTCTGAGAGAACATAATCTTCTAATTATTGCGTATTAAGACCTGATGAGGATTGCTAACTTGGTTTACCGAAAACCATATCAACAATAGTAATAAATTATAATTTATAACATAATCAGTTTTAATTTATAATACAATAATTTCTAACCTCTAATAAAATAGCAATAAATTCTAATTCATAAGACAATAAATTCTAATCTATAATACAATAATTTCTAACATATTAGTAATAAATTCTAAGATAATCAATTCTAATATATAACATAATAATTTATACTAATATATCTTTTTCAAGCAAGTATCATTTCTGATTTATAATAATATAACTTATACTAATTATACTAATATCATTTTTTTAACTGTATATGTTGTTAGTTCATTTTATCCTCAACAAGTGCATAACAAACATAACCTTAAATTAGGGTTTAGGTGTTTAGGGTTTAGGGTTTAGGGGTTTATGGGTTAGGGTTGAGGGTTTAGTGTTTAGGGTTTAGGGTATATTATGTTTGTGATTGTCATTATGTTAGAAATTATTGTATTATAGATTAGAATTGATTGTCTTATGAATTAGAATTTATTGTTATTTTGTTAGAGGTTAGAAATTATTATATTATAGATTAAAACTAATTATGTTATAAATTATAATTTATTAATATTATGTTCGAAGTTGGATATTATTATGGTATGATTTAGAATTGATAGCCTTATGAAGTAATATTTAGTACTACTATGTTAGAAGTTAGAAATTATTATGGTATAGATTATTACTATTATAAATTACAATTTATTACTATTTTGTTAGAACGCTTTTCCTACTATAATATTCAAACGAATCATATAACTCTGAGAAAAGTGTCAAACAATCTCTTGTCATAAAATTCGGTCAAATCATACTGAATTAATCGGTCTCAATGAATTGCTCTAACAGAATCCGATTTTTTTCGTTCAATTTGTTATTTAAATTGGTATTTATGAATTTCAAATTTAAGTCAAAATTTTATTTTGTATTTTAAAATTTATTACCGAGTTGAAAATGAGCGGATTTAAGAAAAAAAGAGAACTACAATTTTTAATAGCATCACTCATTAGTATTTTATTAGAGATAATTAGTATTATGTTATATAACATAATACTTAAAGAGAAATAACATAATAATAATAATAAAATTCTATAAGATAATTAGTTATAATTTATAATTTAATAATTTCTAAATTCTAACTATAAGATATTAAATTCTAATTATAACATAAATCTAAATTCTAATTTATAACATAAATCTAAATTCTAATTTATAACATAAATTTAAATTCTAATATAATGTATATAATTAAAATTTGATTTAAAAAAAAAAAAAAAAAA